ATCATAACAGGGCGCCCATCCTCCCTCCACGTCAGCTATCAGATATGGAGGATGGTGCAGCACTTCCACACTTTCGTGGAGACAGCAGCAGTTCAAATGTGTCATTGCCAGGTAAGTCCGGCGTCTCCATATTCCACCAAGTCACGTACATTATCCTGTTCTCTCCGATCTCATGGAGTCCGCTGACAGAGATCGTTTCGCTGCTTGATCTACCTCAACCAAGCAACCATCACAAAGGCGAAAACTCAGAGTCACACACACACTCATTTCAGATTGGTGAAAGAAGACTCAAACAAGTCAGTTGGTTTCTGAAATAATGTGGAAAGACTCAAGAATAGTTTTGTTTCTTCTTTCTCAACTCCACAGCCCACCGGACTGATCGAAAGGAATAACTTGGGCTGAGACGAGATATGTAAGGGATGCTCGACCCGACTTCCAGCACGTGTAGCTCCCCACCAATAGATGGAGCAGTCCGACGGCTGAGCCCTCAATTCTGACGGTTCTCTCACGCCGTGGGGATAGTGGGACGGCAAAACAAGGCTCTCCCAAAAAAAAAAAAAAAAAGAAAGAAAGAAAGAAACCACCAGTACACCCGAGCCTGGTGGACTCGCACTGCGCAGCAAACTTTGTCGAACACTTCTTTCTTTTTGGCTGGTGCTGCCAGCCATTGTGGTCCAGTAGGCCCGAGCCTCTCAAATTTTAGGAGTGAGCCATGAGCTTTTTGAGGGCCTCGTTCCACTGCTCGCCATATTTCCCCTGCCTGCAACGGCCCTTCGTGGAGTGCACTACTCCTCACCCCTCCGCAAAGTGCTTCGTGTGGCGATTGGCCCTGACACCGCGGTCCTGACAGTCGACCTGCGTTGTCCCGTAGTGTTGGCGAGTTTTCGCTGCACCTGGAATGATTTCCACTCCCGAGCACATGGTGAAGAGGGTGCGGCCGAACACCGCCACCATTCCATTAGGCCACCATCCGCCACAATCGGGCGCGCAGGCCGGGACAGCAACCACAGGGCACGTGGCGGCAGTGGTGTAATGGAACCAAGCGCCATTTTCCGCCAGAAAAATGTACTTTTCGGTCTCGCCAAGTCTCGCCACTGTTTGCGGCAGATGGCGAGTAGTGGAACTGAGGCCCTAGAGTTGGCTGGGGCAGTTTAAGAAGAGAACACAAATTCAATTTGCGCTGTGGATATTGATGAAATAAAGTCGAGAGGATCACTTTAGCTTCCCTTGACAGGTATTCGTTCTCTTTTTTTTTTTTTTTTTTTTTTTTTTTTGACTCCAGGTTGTTTGTTGTGGAGGCTGGATGCGAGACGTATGACAGTCACCTTCCGTAGTCGGCCATTGGTTATCCCGACTGTCCGCAGAGGTCCCTATTCCTTATGACTCCCTCCCAACCCTCCACTCTCATTGTTACTTCCTGGTGCACCCGTACTACCACAATCCTACCTCAGGATTTACCACTCACGATTATCACCCTCCTATCATCTCTATGGGGGTGACCTGACCGGACAGCCTTTGTAGGCACCAGGGTTAAGCAGGACCTACCCAGCTCAGCCCTCATCGAAGCATAGTCGGACGAGCCCTGTAGTACGGGTACTTCAAGCGCTAGGCATAGACGTTCTTCTACAAGTCCCATAGGTGAACCCATTGCTGTCCACCCAAGTTGTTGTTTTGTTCATTAGCCGTTATTGTAATTGCGACCTAGAGGTCCTAGCCCTCGCAGCTCTGGCCTATGGAGCTCGTCGACACCACTTGAAAATACTTGAGTTTCAAGGGCACCCTAACTCACGAAGGGTTCCCGTAACTCGTTTTCTCGCTCCACAAAACCTTTTTTTTTTTTTTTTTTTTTTTTTTTTTTTTAAGAACACACCCGCGAGACTGAGTGCTAGTGGTGCTGATAAGAGCAGTCACCACTAGCACTTAGGGCAAGGCTCCATCTATTGGTGGGGAGATCACCTGCTGGAAAACGGGTTCAGCGTCCCTTACACAGACTGAGATTGGAATACAACTGTTGTGGGGTCCTGCCAGCATTGATTACCCTGGGTTCCAGGGGATTGACTGAGCAGGATACTGAAGCCAGGGGGGGACCTCTTCGTCTCGCATCAGGCGCCCGATATACATCTACCTGCTAGTCCCTACTCCCTTTTCCAACAAGAATTGTAGGTGCTGGGGCCGTTCCACAAAAACCTTGAGACGGCCGCCCTTGGAACTGAAGTGCTGACAGCATTGCACCAGGAACAGTGGTGATTGGTGGAATAATCCAAAAAAAAAAGAAAAAGTTCCGTAAATTCCCCATTTCCAAGGGTCCAGCCCTTGAAACTCAAGTGACCTCCGGAGGCTCCCTTGAGATTTTCATTGTTTTGGCTGGGCCACACTTGAGTTTCAAGGGCGGACCCTTGACATGCAAAATGTGGAAACATTCTGGACATCCAAATCAATGTAATTAGGGAGGGGTGGAACCATGCTTCCTTAAAAATCCTTGAGTTTCAAGTGGTGTCGAACGAGGCCCTATCCTAGTAGTTAGAGGATTGGTAAATATTTGTTCACTTTTTTGGGGATCCATTGCTTTCTTCTGGGGTTGGACTTCATAGCATTAGTAACCAGATGGCTATAGCATAGATTTTCGCAAAATGTTATTGTTCGAGGTCAGAGGTTGAAGTTGCCTATTGAGGACTATTGTTTACCCGGTTTCCACTGGCAGCATTAGCCTAAGCTGGGTTACGGTCCCAGTATGATTTGCTGGGTAGAATCGTGGCGACTCTCCAAGCTCACAAATGTCTACTCTACTGGTTTCTATACAGGTTGGCTCAGTTAATCTTTCTTCCCAGCTGGACGTAGGGCCCATGGTGTCTACAGTGGGATAGCTACTACAGATAGAGCAGGCTGGCAGTTTATTTTGCAAGCTTATTTTCATAGTCCGGTGCAGTGAATCCCCTGAAGCTCAGGGTAATCAATGCTGGCAGGGATCCTTGATATGGTCTTTTCTGAGATACACTGTTGACAATCTGTCCTTGAGACGCTGGACCCGTTTTCCCGCAGGTGATGCTCCCCACCAATAGATGGAGCCTCTCCCCGGGTGGTAGCAGTGTCTGCTCTTATCAGCACCACTAACACCAGTGGGGGGTGTTTTGTTTAAAAAAAAAAAAAAAAAAAAAAAAAACAAAAAAAAAAACACCTGGG